CTTTGACTACCGTATTGTTCTTTATCTTATTGTTCTTATTGTTCCTTACTGTTATTACTCCAAGTTGTTTTTCTCTTGTTATATCTCTTTTTCTCTTTTTCCACTTTTCTAAAAAAAAAAAAAACACCAAAAATATTATCTTATCCCTCTTTACTATCCCCTACTTCTTCATTTTTCTTCGATGGCGCAGCAAGAGGCTTTCCGCAAATGCATGGAATGTGGGTCCTAAATGTCCCCAGCAGACCCTCATGATTTATGCCTCAGTGAGGGGCACAGAACAGATAAATGCCGCCATTGCCTCGCGTTCACCAAACAGACCCACAAGAACAGAGAGAATCGCTTGAGAAAACTCCTCTGGGATCAAGCATTAATGCAGTTGGACCAACTTGCTGCAAAATTTGGGCCTGCTCCGACTCCGCCCGCCAAATGCCCGGCTTCTGCCTTGGCTGCTTCTTGCCAACACTCAGCTACTGCCTCAACCACACCTGGGCAATGCCCTGCGGCCACGCCACCCATGCCTCCCATCAGACGATGCGCCCTCACCATCTGGAGCCCAAGGATCTCTTTCTCCCCCACGTAAACAGCGTGGCAGGTTAGATCATTCTTCCCATAAGAAAGGGAAGAAAGATAAGGCGGCCAAACCGGCTTATAAGCCAAAGAGGCATCGGGACTTGGGTTCATCAGCCCCGTCGAGCCCGACGGCCACGTTGGTACCAACACCATCGGTACCAATGCTGCAGGCGGCAATGCAGGTCACTCCACCGGAATCTCTGGGACAGCCTGTTCCCCAACAGGTGCTGCCCTCAATCAACCTGAGGAGCCACAACACGAGTCCATCTCGGACGGAGAGATTCAAGACTCTCCCCCAATGGCTCACTCGCCAACACCTATGCCTCCAACCAGAGCCAGGGACCAGTCTTCCGCTTCTCCACTGCAGTACCGTACCTGTACGGACGAACGTGAGGATGAATGTTTCCAGCCCTACTAAGATTATTTGTTGGGCTGGGCAGACTACCACTCCTTCGGCTTTCATTCGCAGCCAAGGGAACGTTCATCGCCCTCCGTCCATGGGGAAGCTCCATCAACTTCGAGACGCATGCAACCCGAGCGCCCGACTTTACCGGGTAGCTCCTCGTTGGGACCATACCATCTTGAACCCGACTCCGGCTCCGAGGTGGACTCCACCTCTCCCGATGTGGCGATAACATCCCAGGGTCCATCATCTGCTGAGGAACTGCATATCTCTTTCATATCTCTTTCAGAGAGCTCATGTCTAGACTTGTTTGGTCGCTCGAGATCGAGGCACAACACCAGCCCAAGCCGAGCACCGACAAGTTCTATGACATTGTGAGGGGAGAGCAGTCACCTGCTATTGTCTTGCCACTAATCACAACTCTGCGGCAGGCAATGACCCAGCCATGGGATCTGCCCTCACAGCCACAACCCACGGTGTACCGTCTTCGGGAGAGCAACATACCCTTCTTGTTACACCATCCTAAGCCAAATTCCGTTGTTGTGGAGTCATCCCAAGGCAGGGAATCTAGAGGACATACCACCCCTCGGGACAAAGAGGGGAAAAAAGTTGATACCTTGTCACACTGAGTCTACGAGGCTGCTGGCTCAGCCTTCGTATGTCCAATTACGAAGCCAACCTTGCCAAGTATCAATTTTTTATTATGCAAAGACTGAACAACGTTGTTGCGACCCTGCCAGAACAGCAGCGGGATTTGGCCAGAACCTTCATCAAGGAGGGTATACAGGTGGCAATTCAACAATTGTCAACAGCCCGCCACCATGTGGACACTGATTCGAGAGCCCTAGTCAGTGCCATTTCGCTGCGGAGGCATGCCTGGCTGAGAAATTGTAATTTTCCTGATGAGATGAAGAGGTGCATTGAAGAAATGCCCGTCAACGTCTCAGGACTTTTTCACTCGCGAACGGACCACAAGCTCAAGTCCATTCATGAGTCCCACATGACTGCCAGACAGATGGAGCTTCCAGCTCAGCAAAAACATAAGTGGGCCCAGCCCCCCCAGAAACAGTATCACCAACGGTAACAGCACAGGAGGCAGCAACCTCAACATGGCCATCATCGGTTCGACAATGAAAAGTGACAGCACTGATGGGGTGGGCAAACCTCTCCTCCTCCTCCACACCCACCTTTCCCTCTCCCTTTTGGGGAGCGGCTGCCATCACAAGGCCATCACATCTGATCAGTGGGTTCTATCCATCATTCAGCTCGGATACAGAATAGAATTCGATACCATTCCTCCATCGAGCCCGATCCAGCTTACACCACGCTCACAGGTATTGGAGAACGAAGTACAACAACTACTTCATAAAGGAGACATCTGATGGATCTCTAGCTCCGAGGGACTTCATGGATTCTATTCTAGATATTTTATGGTCCCTAAATGGGATGGTGGTCTTCGTCCAATTTTGGACCTCCGAAATGTCAATAAATTTATTAAACCAAAGAAATTTTGGATGACTACCCTTCAAAATATCCTTCCGTTGCTGAGGAGAGGGGATTTGTTCACCTCACTAGATCTGAAGGACGCCTATTTCCACATATCGATCCATCCAGGTCATAGACACCTTCTATTTTTTACCGTTGGGACCAACATTTACGAATTCAATGTTCTCCCGTTCAGACTAGCTGCAGCCCCAAGGGTCTTTACTATGTATGGCCCCAGTCTGTGCGCACCTATGGCTCCAAGGCATCCAAGTTTAACCTTACCTGGCTTATAGTCTCCCAGACCCTCTTGTCAGCTGTTGAGAAAACTTGTTCTTTGCTGGATGATTTAGGACTGTGCATTAACCACAAAAAAATCATCCTTTATCCCGACACAGGTGATCAACTTCATCGGAGCCCATCTCGATTCCATTCTGGAGAGGGTGTTTCTCCCTCCAGCACGTCAAGACAACCTTTGGTCCTCTGTTCATCGGATTTGACAAAACAAGATCGTTCCGGCACTCTCTATTCAGAAACTTCTGGGTCATATGGCTGCCACTATAACCATTGTCCCCTATGCCAGGCTCTGACTACATCCTCTTCAACTATGGTTCAACAGGAATTTCCATCCGCAGTGAGAGTCATCCGACAAGCCAGTTCGACTGCCTCATTCTGTTCTACAGACGTTGACTTGGTGGACTGTTCCGAACAATTTTAATGTGAGTACCCCATTCCAGACGCCTCGCCCAACACTGACTCTTTATACCAATGCTTCGATGATTGGGTGGGGCGCCGTATGTGCGGGACTTCAGTCCCAGGGCACTTGGAACTGGCAAGAGGTGTCGAGACACATCAACTACCTTGAACTCTTAGCAATTTTCAAAGCTCTCCGATTCTTCGAGGACACTGTTTGTCAACAAGTTATTCAAGTCACTTCTGACTTGCGGTGTTCTACATCAACAAACAGGGCGGGGCAAAATCCATAGCCCTAGCTCATCTGTCCATGAACATTTGGGAATGGTGCATCCCGAGGGGTTGGTCCATCTGGCTGGGACCAACAAAGAGAAAGCCGACATTCTGAGCAGACACATGTCGATAACCCACGAGTGGGAGTTAAATCGACAGGTCTACAGTCAACTTTGCCAACTCTGGGGATACCTGGACATCGACTTGTTTGCCACCCACGGGAACAGAGTATGCAAAGTATTCTGTTTCAGAGCGGGCATAGGACCGGGGTCATTGGGAGATGCCCTCATGATCCCATGGTCCGGCTTCAGAATTTATGCCTTCCTTCCTATTCCTCTGTTAACGAAAGTCATTTCGAAGATCATACACGATGGTGCCACGGGAATCCTAATCACACCTTGGTGGCCCCATCAAGTGTGGTTTTCCACCCTTCTTCAAATCTCCAACAATACCTTTCACCGCCTTCCGTCAATACCACACTCAGTCCATCACCCAGACTTAGCCTCACTGAATCTCATTGCATGGCAAATTCGCTGACCAGCGAGACTGACTCGGTACCAAGGACTACTCGAACACTCGGTACCTCTATTTATGAACCCGAGGTGCTGCTTGAAACCTCAGTCCCGATAGACTTTTCTACAGCATTGAGTACTCTAGATCCGGACATTCAGAGAATTCTCCAGTCTGCTCTGCGACCATCAACTAGGAGGTCTTATGCAGCGAAAAGGCGTCGATTCTCATCTTTCGCCAAATCACATTCCTTCGTTCCGGAGTCAGCCTCCATTGAAAATATACTGCAGTTTCTTCTACAGCTACATTGTTCGGGACTGAAGCCTTCATCTATAAAGGTGTACGCAGCAGCAATATCACACTTCCGTGGTGTGATACGGGGTTCATCTGTGTTTTCACAACCTCTCATTAGGAGGTCCCTTAAAGGACTGCAGAACCTCCATCCCTCAATTCGACCTGTCATGCCTACCTGGAGTCTTTCAGTTGTTCTCCAAGTGCTAACAAGACCCCCTTTTGAACCTTTGGCAACTGTCGATCTGTGTCTTGTATCCTGAAAGACGGCCTTTCTTGTAGCTGTCACGTCAGTGCGTAGAGCTAGTGAACTTTGTGCATTGAGAGTAGACCCACCTTATTTGAACTTTCATAAGGAGAAGGTGGTTCTCCAAATGGACTCTACCTTTTTGCCCAAGGTATGCCATTTCATTTGAATCAGGAGATTGTTCTACCAGCTTTCTTCCCATCACCGTCGAACCCAATCGAGAGATCCTTACACACACTTGATGTGCGTCATTGTTTGGCCTTTTATAGATCGCGCATGGAATCTCGTCAGCTTTCCAACAGACTCTTCGTTAAATATTCTGAGCATGACAAAGGATCCCCTATATCATCGCAAAGAATGTCAAAATGGATAGTTCAAACCATTGTATTGGCATATCAACTTGCCAAAATTGACTTACCTGTCGTTCCAAGAGGTCACGCCACAAGAGCAGTAGCAGCTTCTTCTGCCTTTGCCGTGGGAATTCCGATCCAAGACATCTGCAAAGCTGCAACTTGGGCTGCTCCATGCACTTTCACCAGGCATTATCGCCTTGATGTGCGTGCCAGACAAGACTGTTCCTTCGGAAGGGCTGTCCTCTCTGCAGTTCTTCAATGACGACACCGCCCTCCTCCAAGTCTGGTAAACTTGTTACCCATATGTGTGATGCACAGAGGCCACGACGAAGAAAAGCAGGTTGCTTACCTATAACTGATGTTCCTCAAGTGGCCATCTGTGCATTCACACAACCCACCTGCCAGCCCCACTCAGTGTCGGTGAGTGGAATTTTTTTCTGGGTACCATGCAGAATGTTCATGGTTCCATACAAATTTATCTGTACTTCTCTTCCAAAAGGGGGTGAACAGTCGGTCTTTCACCTGGAGAAAATGGCAGACACTCCACTCTATATATAGAACCGAGGGGGAGGGGAGCGGAGTTTTCCCGCCAAAAACTGTTAGCTAACTAATTTTTCAGCCTTAGGCACTGCGCAGGCGCAGCACCCATATGTGTGAATGCACAGATGGCCACTCGAAGAACATCAGTTACAGGTAAGCAACCTGCTTTTTTCCAAATTTGTTGGCATATTGAGTGTGGCACTTTTGCTGCATTGTCTTTTAGGATTTTGAATAACTGAGCTGGAATACTGTTGCTTTCGCTAGCTTTGTTGTTGCTTAGACTTCCTAAGTAAAAGAATACAGTGGACTAAAAAGCACTTTCTTGCTATAACAATTGCAGATGTAATGATTGAGGAAACTACTAAAGTTGACAAGGACCAGCTATATGAAATTCTTTTCAGCCTGTCAGTTTATTATCAGTCCAGACTTATCACAAACAAGCAAGCCTCCCAGAAGTCTCTGCTCATTCTTTCCCATAAAACTACATGTTAAGATAGTAGGAGTAATTATACACTAGCATAACATCACACCACATGACATCATTTACACATATGCTCACATAGTAATATGGCACACCTGTGTGGATTTGTTGTTAATGCACTGGATAATATCCTTTAACTCCAATCACAATGAATAGAGCACACTTAAATATACAGTGAAACCTTGGATTGTGAGTAACTTGGTCTGTGAGTGTTTTGCAACACAAGCAAAAAAAACATTCTAAATTTTAACTTGATAAACAAGCAATGTCTTGCAGTACAAGTATTACTTGCACTTTGCCTGCCGAGCGTCACTTCACAACTGAGCGCCGGTTCTTCTCTCTCTTGCTGTGGGTGTGAGAGTACAGCATCGTCTCTCCCAAACAAGCGAGCTCGCGATCGCTCCTGCCTCCCCCCTGAGCGCACCTGTCTCCCCCGCAAGTGTGCACACACCCACTTCTCCCTGCCCCAAGCATGCCCACTTCAAATTTTTGTGATTAAAAAAAAAAAAGTTACAGAACGGATTAAAATTATTTGCATTGAACCTTACGCGGAAATTTGCTTTGATATACAAGTGCATTGGATTACAAGCATGTTTCTGGCACGAATTATGTTCGCAATCCAAGGTTTTACCGTATTCTGTTGGAACTGAAGTTTTGCATAGTAGCTAAAATATTACGTGGACATATGTCTCCCCACCACCACCACATCACAATTCTAATGAATGTGGCAACACCACAGTGAGTTTTGGCTTTTTGGAACAAACTGCGCAGAGAAACTTTAATGAAAATTTGTGTTTACTTTTCTAGGCCTAGCTGGGTCGTGTTTGGCTCGATTCAGCACTATGCCTTTTCTGTACTGCAATCCTGGGGATGTTTGCTATTATGCAAGCCGCAATGATAAATCCTACTGGCTCTCAACGACAGCCCCTCTCCCAATGATGCCTGTGCAAGAAGAAGAAATCCAGCCATATATCAGCCACTGTTCTGTCTGTGAAGCTCCAGCTGTGGCTATAGCTATTCATAGCCAAGATGTCACTATTCCACACTGCCCAGAGGGCTGGCGCAGCTTATGGATTGGTTATTCATTTGTTATGGTATCTGCTTCTTTTCCTGGTTGGGGTACATTTTTAAAGAAAAATACCATGTGCATTATTTTACTCTCAAGGACTGGTCAGGTCCATACCTGCTTCCCTTCCGCAGTATTGCAGCATCAGGTTTCCTTTGGTCATTTACCAGTAGGGACTTCATATAAACTAAGTTGCCACATGTTGCCTGATTGCTGGATGGGTTTGTTGTCCAGCATGGATATGGCCATCTTACAGTGCTCCAGATTTTTGGGGTGATCTTGATTCCCAAGCCAAAGGATGTGGCAGAGCCCCCTGCCTTTCTCTTCTGCACCAAAGGGAGGCAGAAGCTGGCCTTGGCTCAACCAAAGACATTTCCCTTGCTTTGCCTTCTGTCTGGAGGAAAGAACAGTGGCTGAAGCTTGCTAGCATGGCACTACATGACTAAAGCTGATTCTTATAGCAGGCTCTTACTGCCTTGACAACAGAGCAGCCAAACTCTTCCTATTATTCCTAACTTGAGTGCTGGGGATGTGGCAGTCTTTGCTGCACAACCACCAGAACAACCGTTACTTAATTTTGTAGAAGGTGACTCAGCTTATTGTGCTTGCCAAATAGTAGCAGTTCACTTGCTGTACTTGTATACACTTGTGCAACCCTGTTCATCTTTCTGTGAACAACTGGAACTGTTGGAAGCATGTCAGAATTTCCTCATGTGCTTGGCACTGCTGCCACCACCTTCTTACCAATATCAGGCTGCAGTGAGGAGGAGGCCCTCACTGAGGACCTGCAGGGGATGTGCAGTGGGGAGTGTGGGGGAGGGGTAGAATGTGGCACTAGTAATGATAACCTGGAAGCTCAGGTCCTTAGGAGAGAGAGGGAGGGCCTCAATCTTAGAGGAAAGGGCACCAAAAGTCTTTGAAGTAGATTAGAAACACAAATAAAAAAATAATATTTCTATAATGATTATGTTGATGATGGAAATAGAGAAGGAAATGAGAGGGAAACTGTTGTAGGAGGAACAACTACAGCAGCAGGAGGGAGATTTGAAGAAATTGGAAACTGTGTTTGTGAGGGGGTGAGGGTAGGATAAATTCGAGAAGTATTCTCCACTTAGACCCTCTGGATCAACAAATCCTGCTTGACTCATGTTGCCTCCAGAGCCAGTGCCTGCACTTTTAAGGAAAGCTGTATGATGGAACTCCTTCCAGCTTGGCATGCTACAGCTTTGCTCTCTAGTGAACTGCTGCTCCCATCCTATGCACTGCTGCTGGCATGAGTCCAGCACTGTAGCTGGATAATCAAGCACAGAGATTTTAGGTGAGTTGCAGTGCTGAGGCCCACCTGCAGGTAATGGGATATCAGGGTCTAGGGCTGGGGTATGGGCAGCCAGGGACAAGCCAAGACAAGTACAGCAGAGCCACCAGGAGCAGAGCAACAGAACTTCAGGAAATACACAGTCCCAAAGCACAGTTGAATGCAAAGTCCAAATCACAGTCATGGCACAAGTCAGGAACCAGAGAAATGCATTGGGGCAGAACCAGGATGTGGCCAGGAACAAGCCAAGCATCAAGAACCAGGAGGACAAGCAGAGGTGCGGGTAACTTGGATAGGGTAACAGGGCAAGGAAGACAGCATGGCAGGAGACACAGCAGGGCACAATACACAAGGCAACAGAACCAGACACAGCAAGGGTCAGGCAAGATGCAGATGAACCACAGCTCACAGGAAGCTCTGCATTACTGAGGCAACATGATGTTGCAGGATATGAGTTAGGCAAGAGGCAGATACAACAGCAAGGCAGCATAGAAAGACAGGAAAAAGCAGACAGCAGGAGCAGGAACAGTTAGGCAGGAGGACCTGCACTGCTGAGGCAACATGGTGAGGCAGTGTACACAGTAAGATGCAGGAAACAACAGGAGAGGTCAGGCAGGATGCAGCCACAGCAGCAAATGGGAGACCCTGTGCTGCAAAGGCAGGAGTCAGGGAAGATGCAGGAACTAGGAATAATCAGGCAAGCTGAGACCAGTTTTGGAGGGAAAAACTTGCTCCCAGGACTCCCAGCTGATGCTTGTCAGTAGACTAAGCATTCCAGCGAGGCCTGGGACCAATTTTGCAAACCTGATGGTGGTGGTGGCCACCAGAGTAGCCCAGATCCTGACAGGTGAGGCCCAGTGGTAGTACCCAGCACACAGTTTAGGCAAGTTGACATAGAGGAACAAACTATAGCTCTGTGGTTCCTGTAACAGCAGGCCTTTAACAGCAGGTCTGCACCATGCTAGTGCAGACCACATCATCTTGCATTTGAATAATGTCTTTCTGATTTCTTCTAGCACACTGCAGCTGGTGCTGAAGGAGGGGGCCAGTCGCTGGTTTCTCCAGGTAGCTGTCTGGAAGACTTCAGAGCAACACCATTCATTGAATGCAACGGTGCTCAGGGGACCTGCCACTACTTTGCAAACAAATACAGCTTCTGGCTTACTACCATTGACCATCAATTTCAACACTCACCTTCCCCAGATACACTAAAGGCTGGACTCATCCAAACACACATAAGCAGATGCCAAGTTTGTATGAAAAACTTGTAAAATGGCAAGGAATAAAACTTTGGTGCATATTTAACTTATTACTTTAAAATTTGAACAAGAAATGCATTTTTATTATTATCTGGAGGAACAACCACTGCAAATGCTTACAACCAAGCTGTAGTTTCTGCTGTCCTTCACATTGTTTGCTACTTAGTTTTTGTGTTGATACAAACAAGACTTCTTCATGAGGCTTAACTACTAGGCAAGTTTTAATTCCCTAACCCCTCTGTTGTTCCTCATGTTTCATTAATAGCATCAATTGAATTATGTTTTTGTTCTGTATACTTACCACTGAAAACAGTTAAGTCATGTAGTTCGCAGTCATTCAATAGTAAGCAACAGTTAGAACACACTGCAGACTGCACTGTGATCTACTCAAATAGCAGAAATGCAAGTACCATATTAAAACCTGACAAATGGTACTATAACAAGAGCTTTGCTGAGTGAGGCCCTTCCTCAACTGTAGCCATCTTTTCTAGTTGTAAGACTTTGACTATAAGTCAATGTAAATTTAAGCATATTTTAGGACCTTCTAATCTCAGTGTCAGTTTGACTATGAGGCTTGTTTTCTCACTTTTGCCACAACATTTTAGGGCCATTCTTTTTTCCTTAATACTATCATGCTCTGTTTAATATGCCTAATTCTTTCCCTAGCCTAGAGAATATGAATATGCTTTATGCCCCCCATGACTCCAAATGTTATCTTGAGCATAATGTGAGATTCTTGTGCTCTCTGACCCCAAAACCCACAGAAGGAATTCCCTAAGCCCAAAGTTTAGTCCTTCCTTGGTACTGCTGAAGGGATTTCCAAACCAGCAGAGCTAGAAAAGGGAACTGTATCTCCTCCAGATGTTGTTACAATCTACCTTCTGTCAAATTCAATCAGCCTGGCCAATGTGCAGGAATGGTGTAATCTGAGGTCCAAAACAAACTGGGGGGCTGCAAGTTTCCCAACGTCCCTTAGCTAGCCTCAGATTCCCCACCAGTAGAATATCTCCTGTGCCAAAAATAGAGAGCAGCAGCAAAGGAAGGTGTTTGGGAGATCATGCCTGGACAGCTAATGTTTACTACATTGAATTGCAGGCTGCAATCCAAAGCATTCTTGCTTCCCACTGAACATGACCTTTCTGAGGAAAAATGTTTAAGGCTGTATGGCTAGTCTTTCATTGCTTCTTGGTATAGGGAGAATGGTGGGAAGAGTTAGAATTGCATCTAGGAGAATCAGATGCACACCACTTTTCTCATGCATTGCTACGCTGATGCTCTGGTTCTGTGCACATTTCTTTGGCAAGCTGCACCAAACAAACTTGGACTGCATAACATAGCAAAAAAAAAACAAACTTAGATCTTCAAATTCATTCCTAAGCTCTGAGAAGCAGAAGGAAAAAGCAGAGGAAGAATAAAATCACTGTGAGTGGTTCTCCTCTTGCCTTAATCCTTCCCCACTCCAGAAGCCCATCCCACTGAAACTAAGCTCTAGATCAAAATGTACCCTTTAATTTTGAGTCTCTTTTCCTGCTTTTGTGATAAATGGGCTTTTTGTATCATAAATAAAATACTGCATTTTATAATTTTGCTTAGTGGTTTGATGTTATGCATGATACATTCTGGCATAGAATCTGTAAATATTTCCATAATACATTGGCTGCATTCCATTTATGAGCACTTTTCCCAATCCGCGATTACTAGGGCTTACTACAGCGTAATGATAAGACAATGCTTGCACTATTGTCATCATTCATGGAATTACGGGAGATCAAATGAATTAATGGGGAAAGAGCTATATCGTTAATTCCAACATGTTCTTAACGGTCTACTCTGAGTAAGAGCTTGCGCCTGCCTCAGGTCACGGGGAACATCATGTGGCATAAAACCTTCCCATTCAGTGCAATTGATGAGGGTCTCAGTGCCCTGCCATTGGCCTGTTGAATTCGCGCCTCAATAGGGGGAACACAATCCGTCGACATCCTCCTTACTGTATCGGAGTGGGCGCAACTAATCAGTTATCACACCACTGTCCCCCGTACGTAGAAGCCACAGTATGAATGTAAAACTGAGCAGTCAAGCATCACTGGGGTGCTGTTTTGATTGGAGGGTAACTCTGTTTCCATGTAACAGTAGTTTCCTTCCATTCATAAGCACTTTCCTCAATTTGCGATAACTAGGGGTTAATGTAAGTTTATTGTGTGCGCGTGCACGCATGTGCGTGCGCATGCACACATGAGTGGGTTTTTGCCTGGGAGAATTGGGCGAGTGAGAGGAACTGCAGGACAAACAAGGCAGGGGACCAAGGTAGAGTCTCGGAAGGGATACCAATGGTAGACCAGGAGATGGCCTTGGCGGGAGTCATGGGTGTTGCTGTCAGCTGCGAGAGCTGCGACATGTTCACCCTTCTCCCCCAAGAGAGGCAGGGATACACTTGCCCTTGGTCCAAGATGCCCTGCTAGAAGAGGAGGTGAGGTGCCTGAGGGCCAAGAGAGCTCTCCAGGCCCCCACGGAGCAGCCCCCCTCTGGACAGAGGATTGAGGGAGAGGTCACCGGAGGAGCAGCTGCGGAGACATGGAGGTATGTCACCCACAGGAGGAGGAGGCCAGCACTGCCGCCGCCTCCTCCTCCTCCTCCTCCTGGCACCAATCTGGAGCTGGGAAACAGGTTCTCCCCACTTGGGGAAGCTGGGGCTGATGAGGCCTTGGGGGACCAGCAGGACCCCCGCCTGGGACATCAGGCGGCAAGGGGGCTGCTGCAGGAGAGGTGAGGGCCAGGGCCAGGGCTGCCCACCAGCACCGGGAAGGTACGGTGCCAGGTGATTGTTGTTGGGGACTCCCTGCTGAGGGGCACTGAGGCGGCGGTGTGCCGCCCCAACCTGGAGACAAGGGATGTTTGCTGCCTGCCGGGCGCAGGCATCCGGCATGTGAAGGACAGAGTGGAGTGTCTTGTTCACTCCTGGTGATCCATGTGGGCACAAACAATGTGGCCAGGCAGGGTCTGGTTGGGACCACCAGGGACTTTGAGGCATTGGGAAAGAAACTCGGGGAGCTGAAGGCCCAAGTGGCCTTCTCGTCAATCTTACCTGTCCGAGGATTTGGGCCAGGAAGGGACAGGAGGGCCTCTGAGGTGAACGACTGGCTTAGGGTGTGGTGCCAGAAGGAACGCTTCGGGTTCCTCGACCAGGGCACTCGTATCACCTTTTTAGAAAGGACAGGAAGGGAAAGAGGGGTGGGGGCGTGGCTTTATACATTAGGGAAGGGATAGGATGCAGTGAGATAGAATGCAGCACAGATGGGGATTGGGTAGAGGCAGTCTGGGTGAAACTTAGGGGTTTTGACAGGGAAAGAGACCTGACAGTGGGGGGTATGTCATCGCCCTCCAGGTCAACTTGAGACCCTGGATGATGTCCTGACAGACCAGATTCTAAGGATATCTCGGGGGAGGAACACAGCAATTATGGGAGATTTCAATCTCCCGAATATTACTTGGGAGACTCACTCAGCGGAGACAGCCAGGTCACGTCGCTTCCTAGATGCTATAGAGGGAGGGTTTTTCACACAGTGGGTCCAAGAGGCGAATGGGGGGGGAAACATCCTTGACTTGGTCTTGACCAATAAGGAGAAGCTGAGAGATGAAGTACAGATTAAGGGAGCTCTGGATGCAAGTGATGACTCCATCCATCAGGAGACTGGAGATGTGCAGCAGGTCGAGCACTAGAAGCTGGGACTTCAAGAGGGCCAACTTTGGCCAACTGAAAGCCAGACTGGGGAAAGTCTCCTGGGATAGGTTACTGGAAGGTAAGCGAGTTGAGGAGCGGTGGATGGCACTCAAAAGGGAGGTTTTGGAGGTGCAAGCCTTGACGATACCTCTAAGGTGGGGAGGCAGAGGAGAGTGCCACCATGGAGGCAAAAGGAGGTGGTTAAAGGGATTAGATGAAAGAGGAACCTACGTTGAAAATGGTTACTGGGGGAAATAGACAAAAGGGTATACCGGGAGGAGGAGGCCCGTTGCAGAAGGATTCTTCACAAAGCTAAGGCTGATTACGAGCTGAGACTTGCCAAGAAAATCAAGAGCAACAAAAAGGGCTTCTTTCAGCATGTAAATAGGAAGAGGAAGTGGAGACAAGTGGTGGGACCACTAAATAAGGAGGAAGGAGATCCAGTGACTGATATGAGGGAACAGGCACAGATGCTAAATAAGCATTTTGCCTCTGTGTTCTCCCCAAAGCAGGACGGGGGATATCCGCACAGGAGATTAGATGAGGCTGGGGACTTAAGGGCACAGATTAGCGTCACATCCCCTTAAAGTCGCGGAGCTCCTCAGGGCATTGGACTTTACAAAGGTGCCAGGCCCTCACGGGTTACACCCGAGAGTACTTAGAGAGTTGGCAGGGGTTCTCTCACGCCCACTGGCCTCCATTTTTGAGACCTCGTGGAGAACAAATTAATATCCAGTGAACTGAAGGGTGGCATCAGTAGTCCCAATTTTCAAAAAGGGTAGTAGACATGGGGAATTATAGACTGGTTAGCCTGGTCCATTGCAGGAAAAACAATGGAAAGGGATTGATGGAAATAGAGATCTAGTGATGCTAGATAGTGAAGGGAGGCTGACAGCCACACAACACGGCTTCCACAAAAAACAGGTCCTGCCAGAAAAACCTTGTGGAATTCTATGACAAGGTTTCGAGATGGCTAGATGGAAGGGATGCAGTGGATGTTGGATTTCAGCAAGGTCTTTGACAAAGTGCCCCATGATATCCTGGTGGAGAAACTGAGGAGTTTTGGGATACACCAAAGCAGTGTCTGGTGGATTAGGGCATGGTTGACTAACCATAACCATTAGTGGGAAATCATTGGGATGGCGGCCAGTGATAAGCAGGGTCCCCCAGGGCTCTGTCCTGGGGCCGATCCTGTTTAATCTTTTCATTAACGACATGGAAGAAGGGGTGAACAGTCTGCTGATCAAATTCACAGATGACACTAAAACTGGAGCAGTGGACACAACTGAGGAGCAGGAACTCCAGATCCAAAAGGATCTGGACAGACTATGGAAGTGGGCAGGAGACAACAGGATGGCATTCAATGTGGATGCACTTGGGGCATAAGAACAGGTTTCATTACTACAGGTTAGGTGACAAGTGGTTGGAGAGCAGCACTTGTGAAAGGGACATCGGGGTACTGGTTGACTGCAGGCTAAACATGAGTCAGCAGTGTTATGCTGTGGTCAAGAGGGCGAATGCCACCCTTGGTGTGGCTTCTAGATCAAGAGAGGTATTACTACCACTCTAAACGACTCTGGTGTGCACGCAATTGGAGTGTTGTGTTCAGTTTTGGGCCCCTCATTAAAGAAAGGATATAAACAAGTTATAGTCAGTGCAGCGTAGGGCCACAAGGTTGGTGGCAGGTTTGCAGGGCATGCTGTATGAGATGAGACTGAGGGAAATGGGTCTCTTCAGCCTGGAGAAGAGGAGACTCAGAGGGGATATGTTGGTAACATACAGGTATGTGAGGGAATGTTACATGGAGATGGGTAGAGACCTGTTCTCCCCTGCATAGCAAGACAGGACACGCTCCAATGGAGTAAAGCTAAGGGAGACAGGGTTCCATTTGGATGCCAGGAAGCACTTCCTGACAGTCAGGATCCCAAGGGTGTGGAATGGGCTTCCACAAGAGGTCGTGGAGGCCTCATCAGTGCGGGTGTTCAAGGATAGGGTTGGACGTCCACATGGTGGGCATGTCGCGAGTGGAGCCGGCTGATGGCCCCGGACACCCCTTCTGATTAACTCTGTTTCTATGTTTTTTATATTGCATAAAACCTTCCCATTCAGTGCAATTGATGAGGGATTCAGTGCCCTGCCATTGGCAAGTAAAATTCACGCCTCCACAGCTGAGAACACAATCCTCCTGTCGACCTCCTGCTTACGGTACAGAGTGGGCACAACTGGTTTCATCGGGAATCACACCACTGTCCCCCGTATGTAGAAGCAACAGTAAGAACGTAAAAATGAGTAATAACGCTTCCCTGGGGTGCTGTCTTGATTGGAGGGTAACTCAGTTTCCATGTAACAGTAGTTTCCGTCCATTTATAAGCACTTGCATCAAACTGCGATTACTGGGGCTCAGTTCAATGTCAAGATAAGACAATGCTTGCATTCTTGGTCATCATTCATGGAATTACGGGAGTTCAATTGAATTGATGTGGAAAGAACTACACTGTTCAATTCCAGCATGTTCTTAAAGGTCTACTCTGAGTAAGAGATTGGTCCTGCCTCAGGTGGCGGGGAACATCTCAATGTGGTATGCAATGTTCCCATTCAGTGCGATTGATGAGAGTTTCGGTGCCCTGCCATGGGCAAGTCAAATTTGCGCCTCAACAGGTGAGAACACAATCCGTCGACATCCTGCTTATGGTACCAGCAGTTTCCTCTCAAATAGCAGTCAAACCTTGGGGGGTGCTCTTTGAGAGGAAGGAAACGCGAAATGTTTCTAAGTAACCTTGATTGCATTCCTCTTATGAGCACTGTAGCCAAACTGCGATAGCTGGGGCTCAGCACAAAGGAATGCTAGGACGACACCTGCTCAATTA